GTCGATAGGGATGGGGGGATGGAGGAGGCTTCAAAGGCCTTTTGTGTCATGTTTGCAAAGGTCTTTGTAGGTTTTCTTAACGGACTTTGAGGGATTGTTTCTTTGTAAGCAATGGAGAACCATAGGAAGTTTTGAAGGGGAGAAAGATATGATTAGATACTTTTTGTTTTTGTGTTGGCTTGCTTAGCTTTTTTCCCTTCAAGCAAAAATCACTCCATTGTGGTAGGAAAGATAAATAGGAAGAGGAAGAAACTAAAGGCAGGAATAGCAATTTGGAGGTTTCCCAGTCCTTTGGCTTGGATTTAGACAAGTGGGGATGGAGAGTAAGGGACAGATTTAAGAGATATTTAGGAGATTCAATTGGCCTGACTTGGGTGCTTTTTAGGATGAGAACAGAAAGATGAGGTCAGAGAGATGAAAAGTCAAACAAGTATGACTCTGATTTCCCACAATGTGTGGATGAGGATGTCATTAAATGAAATTAAATCATAAGATGCATATGGAGGATGGAGATTTAAAGGGAAGATAAAAAAAAATAAGTATGGGGTTTAGTTGCAGAATGTCCTATTCACTGTTGTGGTGGTAAATGTTAAAACTGGCTTTCCAAAAGAAGAGAAAGAAAGAGAGAGAGAGAGAGAGAGAAAGAAGAGAAAAGAAAGAGAAAGAAAAGAAAGGAAGAAAGAAAGGAAGGAAGAAAGAAAGGAAGGAAGAAAGGAAGAAAGAAAGAAAGAAAGAAAGTATAAAATAAAAGGAAGAAAAGAAAGCCCTGACTGTATCAGCTTTCAATGGTGTTAATATTCCAAACCATGGGCTGATTTTAAGCTCACCCTGTGGAAGTCACTTAGTACAGAATCGGGAAGAGATATACATACACAGTCAGCAGCTCTGAGCTGGAGCGAGCACACCACTGGTCCCACTGGATGCCCCACCATGTATGGGGGGCGTACCATCCCGGAGCCCAGCAAGGAGATGAGAGCTGGCGACACAGGGTTTACGTGAAGCCAAGGGGAGTGGATCATGTAAAAATAAAAAGAGAAAACCAGTATTAGGAGACATTATACAAGGACAGAGGAGTCAGGAAAAGAGTCGTTAAAGAGGCAGGAGGGTCAGAAGAGAACCAGATTCAGGAAATAAAAGAGATGAACTTGTTTCAGGAAGGAAGGTGTGGTGGGTAGTGTCAAATATCAGAGATCAGGTAGCCCAGGGACTTAAAGGAGGTCATCAGCGTTACCCATTCAGCAGTCTTTCTGCACTTGAGGTATTTTTCTGTTTTTCTACATGAAAATGTTTTATAATGATAAGAAAGAAAGCACATATACCCCTCTCTCTCTCTTTTTAAGGAGGTCATTAATGAATCTGGAGAGTGGTGGGGGCCAGAGTTTGCCTGAAATGGGCTGGAGAGCAAATAAAAGGGAGGGATAACAGATGAAATCTTTTCAGCAGTTTGGCAGTTAAAGGCAGGAGAGGTTGAAGGGAGGCAGGTTGGATGGCTGGCTTTTAAAAAGAATTATAGCTCATTGATCAACTAGTAATTCAGGGGAATATGTCTGTCTATAATCCAGACTAACTTGCTGATCCCAATGAGAAGCAGAACAAACATCCTACTCAAGTCCAGAAGCAGTAATGTTTTTGAATGTTGCTACATGTCAATAGGAGTCACATTAATAAAGAAGGGGATTGCATTGGTCCAATTATATTGAATTTGTAGGTACTGAAAGCCTATGCAATACATGGTTTACTCCACAAATAATGGTGATTCCTTGTATGTTTTGTTTGTTTGTTTGAATATCTATAGCTTGAGAATTTGTTTCTAACCATGAATTGGAATTAAACTGACTCAGATATGAACTGTAGGTCCTTTTATTCCACTTCACATGAAAGAAGGATTACCTATTTTTTTTCTTTAATTTTGAGGTACCTGTCATTCTCCAGGAATTCTCAAAAAGTCCAGCTATTAGGTCTTAATTGTAACAAATTCTGCTTGAGAAGTTATTTTTAGAATATTTTCTGTTTTATTCTTCATTGACTTCCTGTAATACTCTATTTTTTTCAGAGTTTCCAGGAATCAAACAGTATGCTATACACATGTGTGGTGAAAATCATTTATATTTAAATAATGTGTGCATGTACATTTATGTAGACAAGTTAACAGATATTATATATCAAAGCAATTTCCAAGCAAAACCTTTTAGGTAATCCCTAATTTAAAAGTCTCAACAGAATGAAAATCTGTAGCTTCATGACCTCTAGCAGGGTCTCCGAGGCCACAGCTGCCTGAATTCTGTAGTTAAAAGATTCCAGGGTCATCTCAGAATAGAACTTCAAGACACCCAGGCTACATTGACAGAATCAGCTTCTCCGGAGCCACAGCAACAAAGAAGGGCCGTTCCACTTGTTTAGAAAGGGTCACCTAGGGTGGGGACCTAGAGTGTTGGTGTTGGTGTTGGTGTTAGCAGGAATTGAAGGACTTGGAGGAAAGCTCGCTGAAGCATACTCTGGAACAAATCGACCTGTGACATTCAAGGGAGAGAATTCATGCTTTTACACTTTCTCAAGGGACACATTCTCTTAACCTCTAACTTTTGGAATTCAGTATTTTTGTCATGTGAACCTGTCGTACTTGCAAAGTTGTGGGCTTGGTGTCAGCAGACTTAGGTCCTGTGTCCCTTGGCCAAATCACTTAGACTTTTTGGGGATTTGGGCTCTTTTACTGGTAGAAATCAACACGACTAATAAGCATATTTCAAACATTATGGTGTGTTCATGTATTCATTGCAGAGGTGAGCAGATTCTTGATACCATAGGTTGTTCTTAGTTAAAAATGATCACATTTGGCGTTGGGGCCATAGACCTGTGTATTCAGAATCAATGGCTGTCCTCTCTGGGGCTTTCATCTCCTTCTTGGCCTCATCTCCTTTCTCCAACAGTCTATCTTTGTCTCATTTGCACAGAACTTACTCTCACCCATTCCCCAAGAGAACAATCTGAGGGATTACTTTAGTAGGGGGTGATCTTGGGAACTATAGCCTTCAGTTCCAGAAAGAATGCTTTTGGTGGTGGGATTTCAAGCACTGTGATAGGTGGATGGTGGGGTGGGTGGGCAGGGAGTGGAGAGTCAGATAGACATAAGCACTTCCATAAGTCACACTTGGAATGGTAACACCTCCTCCAGGAGCTTTCCTTTATATCCAGAGGGTCAGAACGATTACTTTGAGCTCTTGGCTAGATCTGGAGTTTTAAAATTTTGGCATGGGACAATCTTTATAGGCCATTTTCTGGTACCAGAAAATGACATCAATAGTCAGCTACCAACACCCTCTTTGTTTACAGTGCCATTCTTCCCAGGAGCTCAAATGAACAAAATACGCTTTCAGAAAACCCCTGTGAGGCAGGGAGAGCATATATATTCTGTTTTATGGACAAAGAAATGGAGGCAGAAAGTTGTGGATCATGTGGTTCAGTCAAATTTGACCCCAGAACCCATTCTCTCGACCAGGGTTGTCCTTTGACCCAGGCAAGAGGGACTCCTCTCGTGGGCCCTGGGCTGCAGAAGGCTTGGCTGTGGCCCGCCTCAAACCTCATCCCTTCCTAAGCGTGAAGAGACCACGGGACCTAGGGGCCAGGCCACCACAGTTATGAGTTGCCGGGACCCCAGAATTCCTTGCAGTAAGGCCCCTAAGTGCACTTCCAGGGCTTGCATGGGCCCCCTCCCTGGATCCGTCCTGAGTGTTGACAGAACCACTGACATGTGGACCTGGGTTCAAATCATAGCCTGGACTGTAGCATGGAGGGGCTTGTGCAGCTAGGGGCCCACATGCACACCTGGAGGTTCTTCTGGAATATGATGGAGCTGGGGGTGGGAGGAGAAGTTGGCTGGGGGCCAGCTCTCCCACTCCACCACTTTCTTGACAAAACTTAAGTCAAAGGGTGAGGAGTCTGAATGTGAATCCTCCCTTCCAGTTTGCTCCAAAGGTATCTTTGTCAGGTAGGAGAAACTTGTTTTACGTTGGTTGGCTTGATTTATGAGTTAAATATTTGCACTTAAAGTATGTGGGCCTCCATTTGTACTCTTGCTTCTGTTCCTCAAATGTTATGGGCCGTCTTGCTCCTGATTGTCAAAGCCAAAGCCAGAGGAAGAAGGTGGAGAACTGGAATGGTTATGTAATTTTACAAGACTGCGATTCTCTAGCTGCACTTTGCGAATCTGTAGAAACCTAAATACAAGCCATGTGTATCTATCACTGGGACGCTGACCAATATGATGAAAATAAAAAGGGGGCTGGTCCACATTGCTCGGTTTTTTGTGGCCTTTCTCCTCCACCCAGTTTGCTAAGAGAAGGAGCAAGACGCTTTTCAGGGGTCCTCCCGGGGATCTGGGAGGCCCAGGCTGGGAACCCCAAAGGCAGTAAGTCACCTCTTGAATTCCAAAGTCAGGGTTTGTCGTGGAAAACAACACCAGCCAATTGTCCAGAGGACTATCCACCCTCTCCCACACCCTGCGCACTTGAAAGGAAAAAAAGACTAAAGGGTTGGCATCCCGAGGGGTTGCAGCCTCGCGGTCTCTTCCCCTTCCTCCTCCTCCCTCCGCCCCCTAAGTCCCTCTGACTGAGTAAATGAACAAAGGAAACAAAAATTGTTGAAAGCAAGAGTTTAAAGGAAGCGATGTGCACTCGTGCTGTTGGCTGCCCTGAACCTTGATAAGAGTCTCTGTTGGGCGCAGCCCCAAGCCCTGCGTTTGCCGCTGGTCCTGGGCTGGCCTTCCCGGCAGGGGCGAGGGGCGCGGACCCCCACCAGCACCCTCCGCCCCCAACCCCGCGCGCTGCAGGACGTCGCCCGTTTAAGGGGCGGGGCGCGGCTCCACGTGCTTTCTGCTGAGTGACTGAACTACATAAACAGAGGCCGGGAAAGGGGGCGGGGAAGGAGGGAGAGAACAGGCTTTGACCGATAGTAACCCCTGCGCTCAGCGCAGCGGAATCTATAAAAGGAACTAGTTGCGGCAAAACCCCGGTAATTCTGAAGAAGAGTGAGTGCGGCCGGGGCGTCTCCGCGGGCGCAGGTGGGCAGAACAGGGGGCGCCGCGTGACCAGCGCCGCCACAGCCCATTTCTCGCGGCGCTTTGCTCCCTTTCCCCCACTTCTTTCCCAGAAGGGTTTTTCAAGGGGTGGGGGAAAGAGCCGGAAACAAAAAGTGGAAAACAGGTAAGAGGCTCTCCAGAAACTTGGGCTGGGGTTATTGTTTTGTTTCAGGGCCGAGGAGACTTTGGGAAGCGCTGGGTTTCGGGGACTTCAGTCCGAACCCCCCACGTCCCCACCTCCTGCAGCGCAAATGGGGGGGGCGTAAAGGGGGGGGACGTCCTAGGACGAGCTCTGGCGACCTAAAGACGCGGCGCCGCTGTGCTCAGGGTTCGCCCGGCGGTGGAGCCCGGGGAGCATCTTTGGGCGCGGAGACCCGAGCGCAGTACCTGGGGCGCAGTGGAATCGGGGGCTCCTGGTGGTGCTGGGGGCGCTGCAGCCGGAGTGGGGAGAGTGGCAGGTCTGGCACTGAGCTCTTCTCTTTGTTTGGAAGCGCCTGAGCCGGCTGGAATCCTCTCTGGCTGCGGGTCGGCCGGCGCCCACCCGGACAAATGCTAGTCCTCAGTCTCCACTCCGTTCTTGCTAGTTGAACTCTGGTCTGAGGATCGGTCCTCTGCGCCCCCGGACTGGAGCGGCGCGTTCTTGTTCTGCAAGAACGCGACTGGGAGGTGCACCAAACCGGGTCCATAGCGCTAGTACTCATTTGAGGCCTCGGGGGCTTTGTTTGGGTCCTTTCTACGGTCTCCGTACGCTCCCCGGAGCTGTTTCCTGACGCAGCTGGGGCGACGAGAGTTCTGTTTCTTTAAAAAACGTTAGACTTAGAAGGAGGGCCTGAGGAAACCTGGAGCTGAGGTGCCCATTCCCCTGTCTCCCATCTTCCTGCCCTTTGCTGCTTGTCTCTTGGGGCAGCCTCAGGCCGGGCACGGGTGGGGAAGCTGGGGCGAGATGGTGTAGCGGAATGACCGAGAGTAACCCCGGCGGGCGGTGCAGAGCTCGCAGCTCCGCTGGCGGGCTGCGCTCCGCGGTTGGGGGAGGGATGGCTGGGCGCCGGCTACGGGTGGCCACGGGGGGACTGATCCACAGCGCCTCCTGGCCGGGTGGCCTGGGAATCGGCTCCTTGGCCGGAGTGAGGCCGGGCTGTACGAGGCGTTGTCGCTCGAGGGTTCCTGACCGAGATGCAGTGAAGACGGGTGTTTGCATACTGGGAGGAAACCTGGGGAACAGGCGAAAGCGCGTCTGGTTCTGTTTTGTTACAATGGGTCCCAACTCCCAGAGGGTTGCTAAATGGAAGGTTCTTGGGGCGTGGGCCAGTGCCAGGGTTGTGTGTAGGTGCCTCTTTTTCAACACTTATCAAAAAGAAGGGAATAAACAAGATAAAAGAAAATAAGGAGAGAGAAAGAAAAAGGGAGAGAGAAAGAAATGCAGCACTAAAAAAGCGATACCATCAGCTTTTAAAACCAACACTTTTCAGTGACACAACAAACTGAGCGAGTAGTATATACATTAATATAATAGAGGACAAATTTGATATTTAAAAAAATTCTTTGGTGATGAAAATCAGCAAGTCACTTTCTAAGGCCCGGTCCCCACCTCCCCACAAAGAACACCTCACAAAATTTTGCAAGTTCAAAAGCAGAGTTTTTCTGGTTCTTTTAACAATAGTTTGGGACTCAAACCCAAGTTTTGATCTGCTTTTCAGACAAAATTTAAATCCCAACTAAAAAAGTACTTAGTTTCTCATTTCCCCTTTTATTAATATTTCAGCCCATCTTCCTCATACCTACCGCAAATTAACGGAGGCTTTCTTTTGCTCATATCGTTCTCTTGAGGCATTTCTCCCAAATGCAAGAAAGTGTGAAAGCATGGAGAAGTTTCCGGAGTAGAACCTCTTCTGATGGTATAATAATTTTCAAGTACAAAGTTTTCATTGTCAGCTTGTTCCCCAAGTGCTCCTTTTATAGGAGCTTTAATGCTTTATGCAGTAATTTATGATAGAGTTTTGGGAAAACACTGGATACACAGAGCACATTAGTATTTACTCGAGAAAAAGCAGTAGAATCAGAGTGACCAGGCTTCGATGACCACAGTTCATTTAAGGGGTAAGAATTTCTACTGTACTCAGAGTAACTCATTAGCCGCCTTGCAGGGACCAGCCTAGTGTTCAGAACGACATATCTGATGGTGAAGGGAATACCTGTGATATGTGTCTCCCCTCCAGATGAGTATTTGAAATCTCAACCCTCAGTTTACATCTAAATAGAGGCCTGTAAGCGACCCTGGACACCTTTTGACTTAGGGCATATTTACAGTTCATGTGAGACAGTGTAAGACAGTAGCTTAGGATTGGAAAAGGGTGATTAAGGGTTGGTTGTTTTCAACCTCTGCTCTAGGAAACCTTAATGCTTACGTTATTAAAAATGAATGAAACTGAATGAAACTCAGCAACACAGCTTTTTATTATCTTCTGTAGTATTTACCTTATATGGAGAGAAGTTGGAATATTTTTCCGTCAAAAATTTTTTTAGGGGATCTTCCCATAAACCAAGTTGCTTATGCTGTATTCAGAGTGATTGTAAATATCTTTGCTATTTTAATTTTTAGCTCCTAAGATAAATGGACATTATCTTAGACTCCTTAATTATGAACTTTTTTTAGAATCTAGAAAACACCAATAGATGTGTGATTTTTACATTTCTAAAATACTCTCGAATCCAAATACATTTTTATTTACTATCTGGATGTTAAAGGAGTAATGAAAGTATAATGCTCCTTACGGTCAATTACCTCAGTATCAAATTTTAAAGATCTTGCTGAAAATTTGTTTTAATTTAACTATTCTGGGAGAGGGGCTACACTGCCCCTCATATTTGCATGTGGAACTAATCATAAGTGCCAAAGTTATTGCAATATTTATTTAATAGACACTATTAAATAGCACCAGGTGCCAAGTACTGATACAAATGTTTTTCAAATACTATTTTAATTTTTACAACAAATCCACTTATTATCCCTATTTTGCAGACTGAGAAACAGAGAGGGTAACTAACATGTCCCCAGCCACACAGCTTGCAAGTGGCAGAGCTAAGTTTTGAACCCAGCCCGTGAGCCCCAGATTTCTTTGACTCCCACACTAAGCAGTGAGGTGGTACAATTTCAGTTGCCATGGGCAGAGCACTTTGTGAGGATGCTCGCTGAGTTCCGGTATATTCATCTGCTCTAGTCTTTATCAGAATCTGCAGCCTGTGTTATATTTCCCTTGTTGCTATGAGTGGGCCAGACAAGTTCTTTTCAGCTTGTTGGGACATTGGTTGTGTAGGGATTGCAACACCATGGAAAGGATAGACAATAAAATTTGCTCAACTCTAATTCTTTACTTGGTTTAAAATGAAAAATTTACTCTCGTTTTAGTCAAGTATTTGTGAGTAGGTCTACGATGATCTTGAAATCTTTTCCTGTGTGATGCATAGAAAATGGATAGACAGAGGATTTGGCTGTAAAAGGATAAGGAACAAAAGAAAAAGGGAAGGGATTTCCCTGTGGCCCACTGGCTAAAACTGCGAGCTCCCAATGCAGGCGGCCCGGGTTTGATCCCCTGTCAGGGAACTAGATCCCATATGCCACAATTAAAGATCCCACATGCTGCAACTAAGACCCGGCACAGCCAAATAAATAAATAAATAAATAAATAAATAAATAAATAAAAGGAGAGAAAAAGGGAAGAGAACTATTAGTTAGCTGTCAGTCTTAATTTTGGTGAATTTTTAAAATTGGTTATTGTACAATATGACTTCTGCTTGTTTTACCCCTAATTATGTCTTGGACCTTCTGAAATAAACCATTTTTCTGTTACTGCCATTACAGTCTAGGAATCAAATTTAGCCTTTTCTTAAGGCATCTTTCTCTGAAAGTACATACAGTTTCAAAGTTAGCTTAATAAAAGTGAAATAGGATGGGAAACTCTTTTTCTTATTAAATTGGTGTAGCACCTTAGAAATAAACTCTTAGGAAAGATTTCTTCTTGATAAAAAGTTACATTATTGTTGATTTACCTTATGCTGGGTGTTGTTTCAAGCGTTTCACACGTAATAATTTAGTTCATTCTCATGAGAACCACATGAGGTGGGTTCTGTTACTATCTTCATTTTACAGATGGGGAAACTGAAGTATAGACAGGGTAAGTAGCCTGATCATGGAGTTTGTAAGTAAGTAGTGGAGCTGAGGCTGCATCCCAGGCAGTCTGGTTTCCATGAATTTACTAATAGCAGGGTAAGGACTTAATTAAAATATCAAAGTTTTGACAAATGAAATACTAGCAAAAGGCAAAAAATGAGTCTCACTTTTCGTTTGGATATTTCCAGCTGCAAATAGTTCCCTGGGTAGGTAACCAGCATAGGTGCTGTTAAAGACGCACATTTTTGAAATATCTGAAGCCAGAGGAAGAAAATCTCACATGTAAAATTGCTTTCAGGTAGTGCCTTTGGTTGTTCTGCATTCTGTTGAGATGATAAGCTGTATTAAAGCAAAGATCATTTACTCTGAGGAGCATCAGACTTGGTTCCTAAAACAAAGGAAAATTTGAAATCCTGTCTTTTTCCATTTTGAAAATCTACTCTTAAGACCTGATTTAAATGCCATCCTTCTCATAAGCTCTCCTGAATTCACACCTTCCTGCCAACACAGAGTTAAAATTAATTATCCCCTTTTTTGCTCCCATAGGATTGGATCACAGCACTATTCATGTCATGGGTTTAATTGTGTTTTTGTTGTTGTTTTCGTTGTTGTTGTTATAGTTCACATTTATTTGTCTTCTTCTTGAGTGTATGCTTCTCCAGAAGGGCTTTGATTCATTCTCCTAGTCCTTAATTCACCCTCCTTGATATGGAAGGGGATTCAATAAATGCTGACTTAAACAAGTCAGAGAGAATGGGGAACTAATTTGGTTTTCTATATTCTAAAGATGAATTAAAATGTTGGGATAATCACAGAAAAGCTAGGAGTTCATTCTTTCCTTAGTGGAGTAAAGTGGAATGAGCCTGATGAAACATGGGACAGCAAAACTGTGGATTATTTTGCTTCAAGAGTAAGTAATAAAACAGTTTCTTGTGAGTTTTTGAAAAAGCATGAAC